TTGAGAAAAGGTCAAAACTTGGAGAATCTCAAACACTTCAACAATTCAGCCGGGATGTAGATGAAATTGAGGCCTGGATCAGTGAGAAGTTACAGACAGCAAGTGATGAGTCATATAAGGACCCCACCAACATCCAGGTGAGTGGGACTCATTGGGGGCCTGTTCTGAAGTGCCCTATGCTATTGAGGTCGAGCTGTTAAATGAGACTCTAAAGTAAATGCCTGCAAAGCCATCTGCACCATGATAAAGCTTAGAAAGAGTTCCTGGGCCTGTGCCAAACATTGCTGAGCTAGTAGAGCCATTTGAAAGCTGTTCCCTTGCTAGTCTCCATAGAAGCTTGTCTGCTATAATGTGTCTTAAGGGTCCTGCTGCTGTGCTATTCCCAAGTGCTGAATTTCCTGGGGAAGTATGATAGGTCTTTAGTAGCTGAGATGTGTTCAAATAAGTGTACTGAACTCTTCTTTCAATCTGTTTTTGTAGCTTTCCAAGCTGCTGGTAAGTTTTTTATCCTTTTAAGAGTTGTAGATTTGTGAGCTCTGAGATTTGTGTTGTACTCTGTAGAGAACTGTTGCTGGCATGGTTCACTGGTGTCTATTCATCCATCATCATTCTAATCCCCAGTCACCCTCCATCCAAGTGTCCCTGTGAGATGTGGCTTTCTCTGTTGTAATTAGCTGTCACTCCCTATCTGTACTTCCCATTTCATCATCCAGGCAAATTCTGTACAGTGTTTGGTTTGGGGGCAGTAGTTGACCACTTTCTTTCAAGGGTTGCTTTTGAAAATGGAATATCAGCTTCTATGTGTAGACTGTGACTTTGTTTTACTGGTCTCAAGAGGTCAAGTGGCCTGGGCATGGTAGGCCAGGCTAGCTTGGGGTGAATCCAATATACAACCAGAGGTGTCCAGAGGTGCTGGCCTAGAGAACTGCAATAGCTAAGTGTGTTTCCAAATCTAAGCAGACGTTTTTCACAAAAAATATCTATCATCATGTGGCTCAAACAGTCCCAGAACTGAGAAGAAGAAATACAGCTGTAGAAGAGAATAAATGGTTTTGAACCAGCGATGACGAGAGCAAAACACAGGGTGACTGCATTGTTGGGATCTGTGGATGAGACCTGTTTGTTGGTCCTGGTGCTGCTTTAGCAGCCACAGTCCCCTCCTTGCGACGATTCCTGCCTCCGAAATGAAACATTGGGTGCAGAATTCTTGGCCAACTAAACCATTTTGTTTGGTTTTGGGGGTTTTTTGTTTGCTATGGTTTTTTCTCTTAATTTCTTTACCAACAACATTTTCCCATGTATTTTCCCCAGAATTGTGTTCCAGCTACTGTACCCTCACAATCATAGTTCTTAAGTGTTTCAGCATCTTTTGTTTCTTAACAAATTCTTAGAAACAATACCAAGCCCCCAGCTCTTTCTTCCTGGCAAAAATAAAATTTAGCCAAAGCCAGATATTCATCAACAGGAACCACTGTACCCATTAGATGTGCTCCTGTTGTAGGTGGTGGGATATCCCATACATGTTAAGACTTCTGTCCAGGAAAGATAAAGGCATAGGTTGACACAGGTTCATAGTTAGATTCAAAACTAAAATTCACCCCAGTCCCCTTCAAAATGGAAAAAAGTACAGATTTTGAGGCTTTGCCCCCAGCCTGCTGATGAGCTGTTTAGAACTGGCTTTTACTTCACTGACCCTGAGCTAGTTATCTCCTTTTCTGGCCTAAACCTACCTCTGCTGGGCTCTCATAGACCCCAAACCATAGCACAGCACAACCTGTGGTGGCTTTCTGTCCACACCAGTGCTTGCCTTGTTCCTTACTTTCGCAGCACTCACTCCCTCCTAAGCATCTCTTTTGCCTTAATGACAAGCCTAGCAAGAACTGCCTCTGAATGGTGATTTGGTATTTTCAGAGCAAGCACCAGAAGCACCAAGCCTTTGAGGCAGAACTGCACGCCAATGCTGACCGAATCCGTGGCGTCATCGACATGGGCAACTCACTCATCGAGCGTGGGGCCTGTGCTGGCAGTGAGGATGCTGTCAAGGTATGGTCCAAGGGCCCATCAAGGTATGGTCCAAGGGCCCATACTATCTCAGAAGAATGGCAGCATGCTACTGTCCACTTCACTACTCCTGTAATACAGCTTAAGACCTACAGTCTGGAATTTGAGAACACAGTTCCTATGATTGTTTTTACTTCCTCTTTGATGGTCTCTGATTTGGGAGACCATCTTGGGAATGGATCCTTCAGAGATTTCCCCATCCCAAGTGACCCACCCCCATTTCTTCCTAAGGCTCGCCTGGCTGCACTTGCAGACCAGTGGCAGTTCCTGGTGCAGAAATCAGCTGAGAAGAGCCAGAAGCTAAAGGAGGCCAATAAGCAACAGAACTTCAACACTGGAATCAAAGACTTTGACTTCTGGCTCTCTGAGGTAATATGAGGTGGTTCTTGTTCCCTACCCTCAGGGACCTTCCAGCATTTGGGTAATGAATGGGTCCATTAGCCAACCCCAGATTGTAAAGGAGAGCCTCTTCAGAGTACCTTGAACAGAAGTCCTCATTGTAACAGATTGCTGTTACAGAGTGATTAGAAGCTTAGAACAGAAAAATTATTTCAGAAGATCTTGGATAAAGGACCGCTCCCCAAGAGAGTGTATAGAGGAGGATATGAGTGGCTGGCAGGCAGTTCCCACAAGTCTGCACCAAGATATAACTAAAAGTCCCAAGAGAAAGGGAGTCAGAGTCTAGGAACATGGAGGAAATTGGGACAGCAGAGGCTCTAAGGGTGATTTTAGATACCACCTCGGTGAACATTTCAGAGTCCCTTTGTATTTCCATGAATCATTGTAGAGGTGAGTTCACACTGTCAATTTTCATTAGTATTTATGGTATAGTTTATATAGTTATATAGTTATATGTATAGTTATATAGTTATATGTATAGTTATATAGTTATATGCATGTGTATATATATATATCTTTTTAATCTTTATCTTTAAACTAATGACTATACATGATTTAGGAAGGATGCTGTAACCAAGCAATGATCAAAGAAGAATCATCTGTTCCACGCCTTTTCTTTGGTCACTCAGAAATGTTACCAGCAATGATTGTTGTCACTTGCCACCTCACATTCTTTTTATCCATGTATTCACCATAGTCCACTTTCCCTTCCACAAATGTGCAAGCCCCCCTTTTCACATACTGGTATGCCATGTCTCTGAGGCCTGGTCGAAACACGGATATTCTGTGCCATGTTCTCTTTTGACTGACGTCCCCCATCTGGTATACTTCACTATTTCCTGATCAACACATCTCATTTGTTGCCAGAGAAAATATTGTGACTGGATTTTTTCTTTCCACCTGTCTCATGACAGGGGTCCTGACCTAGTCGCCCAAGTAACTGAACCTGATTCATAGATGTTTCAAGAACCAAACTGCTGGCCACTTCAGACTCATGTCTTACAAACTGATGAAACACCTGTAACACAGGTCTTCGGAACATGACTTCAGTTTTTCTTACAGTCTAATCTTTTTTAGACTTTTCCTGATGTGCAGCACCTGATTGCAACCCCGCTACAGACTTGCTTCCTTATGGCGTAGTTTTATCCCATGTCACTACATTCTCCTTAAATGTTTATGTATGGGAGAGTCCAAATTTAAAATTCCCATCTAGCTGCCATTCAGGGGTCCCTAGAGTGCAGACCGCAGTTGGACATCTTAGCACACTGTTCCCACTGTGGTCCTTGTACTAGAGGAGCTTCATTGCTGTTGGTTGTTGTTCTCTTTGCCCTTGCATTCCAGAGAAGAATTGGGGCTGTGCCTCTATCTCTACTCTGAACGGGCTCCTTAGTCATATTGGACCCGGCTTAGTAGGCAGAATAGTGAGTGACTCCTTGGTACACACCTTTAATCAAACTACTCAGGAGGCAGAGGTAGAAAGATCTCATAATTAAACAGTAACTCACAATTAAAAAGGACCTAGCGCAGCTCCTGGCCACCCTGGATTTTCCAGAACACTATGCATGCATCCTATAATAACCATTCCCCTTTGTATTGCCAATTGCAGGTGGAAGCTCTCCTGGCATCAGAAGATTATGGCAAAGACCTGGCCTCTGTGAACAATTTGCTAAAAAAGCATCAGCTGCTGGAGGCAGACATATCGGCCCACGAGGTCAGCAGGCTAACAGATAGGAGGGTGGGGTGATTAGAACGAACCTCAAGAGTATCTAGGGTGTTGATGAAAGCTAAAATTATTCAGTGAACACAAGTGATACCTGGCACCCAAAGCAGCCGTTTGTATGTGGACTTGTTTCTTGATTTTTCTCAGCATAGGTTTATACAGATCTGATTTGTGAAAAACCAGGTGTGTTTTTAGCTGGAGATAGATCTTTGTGGTCCAGTAGTTGCCTGTTATGCCCAAGGGTCTGGGTCCCATCAATGCTGCTACAAAATTAAAGGGATTTTTTTTTTTTTTTGCATGTATAATTTTGTTGTTTGCTTTTTTTGGTTGCTTTGTTTTGTTCTGTTAATTTTTCCAAGACAGGGTTTCTCTGTGTAGGCCTGGCTGTCCTGGAACTTAATCTGTAGGCCAGATTGGCTCAAACTCACAAAGATCCACCTGCCTCATTTTTTAAAATTTTTTATTTTTATTTTATGTGCATCGGTATTTTGCTATGAGTGTCAGGTCCCCTGGAAGTGGAATTATAGACAGCTGTGAGCTGCCATGTGGGTGCTGGGAATTGAACCAAGGTCCTTTGGAAGAGCAGTCAATGCTTTTAACCATTGAGCTCTCAACCTCCCCCCCACACACACACACCCTCAACCTCCCCCCCCCCACGCACACACACACACCTGCCTCTTAATGCATGTGCCACCACTGCCCAGCGGTTGATTGCTTTTGCTATGTAGTCTTGGCTGGGCTCAAAAC